GACCTGGAGGTGAGACCACTCTCTGCAGCCCACCATCCACTCTGCTGCCTCTGTGGACATAGACTGCTCAGCTCCTTGGGCATTGACATCATCAAACAGACAATGCCTCAAAAGACCAATGCACTGTGTACCCAAGCAAACATTTTCAGGCTGCCAGAAGGCTCCAAACTTAATTATATTGCAAACCTAAGGGCAGCAATTGCATAAGTAAAGCTAAGAGCAGCCCTGAGTTTCACTTACATGCAGCACTGATAAAGAGGAGCCAAGATGCTTCTTTCATCCAGGGCAGGGTTTCCAAAGCTGAAAGGCAAAATTAAAACCAAGTGAACCAGGTGAACTCCTAATGTTGTTCTCAGCATCAAGGGATTTGTGAAGCATTCAATGAAATCAATACTAAGCAATTTCATGCTCCAAGAGATCAAATCATTTGAATTAAAATATAGACAGGCCACGACCAATCACAGATATTATTCTCAACAGCATCAGCTAATGTACCAGGTAAATGGAAGTCACACCAGTGTGCCCAGTTCTGTATCAGAACAAGGCACCTTAGAAAGGGATTTCAGAGGAGTTCAGACATGGAGCTCAACCTGTGATGAGCTCCTGTAAGGAATAACTGGTGTTCTGGGGCAGAGGGAACTGGAGCTCTGTCTGCCTGGCACAGCTGGACACTGAAGGAACCAAACAGCAGCCACCAGCAGATCAACAGTTCCAACATCAAGGTGACCAATTGAACATTTCATCCCACACCTCCCAAGGCAGACCTGCCTGAAGGCTTCCATGGTATTTCAAATTCCATCTCAACATATGCTGGGTTTAGTTTTTGTAGTTTCACCCTCCTCACAATACTGTTCACAGCAAAGAACTCTCTCCTCAATACAGGTAAGGTACCCTTAGGGGTGTGCCATTACTCTGCCCAAATAATTCTGCTGTTAGCAGCTCTAGAACTGGAATAGGCTCCCAGGAAAGTGGTCATAGCACCAAGGAGCATCTGCTCTTAGTCATATGGCTTAGTTTTAGGTAGTCCTGTGAGGTGTAAGGAGCTGGACTCAATGATTCTTATGGATCCTCTCCAACTTGAGATCTACCATGATTCTATGAAAAAACTATCCCCTTAGCCCTTATTTCAGAGGAGCTGAAAGAACTTCTTAAGTTTTTAAGAAAACAACTTACTGGGAGCCTGCAAAGCCCCACCAGAAATGTTTTCATAATGTTATACCATAATGAAGGGACTTGACCTTCAAACACCACATTCACTTTCAGTGACTGATAGATTACTTTCCTTCCTCCTAGCACATTGTCAGTGCCTAACAGACAGACAATTTTTGCCAAATCCACCTTCAGCAGCAATAATTAGGCAGTCCCAGGGTGGAATGCATCCTGCTGACATACTGAGGGAGTGTTAACAGCGAAGGAAGGAAGGAAGGAAGGAAGGAAGGAAGGAAGGAAGGAAGGAAGGAAGGAAGGAAGGAAGGAAGGAAGGAAGGAAGGAAGGAAGGAAGGAAGGAAGGAAGGAAGGAAGGAAGGAAGGAAGGAAGGAAGGAAGGAAGGAAGGAAGGAAGGAAGGAAGGAAGGAAGGAAGGAAGGAAGGAAGGAAGGAAGGAAGGAAGGAAGGAAGGAAGGAAGGAAGGAAGGAAGGAAGGAAGGAAGGAAGGAAGGAAGGAAGGAAGGAAGGAAGGAAGGAAGGAAGGAAGGAAGGAAGGAAGGAAGGAAGGAAGGAAGGAAGGAAGGAAGGAAGGAAGGAAGGAAGGAAGGAAGGAAGGAAGGAAGGAAGGAAGGAAGGAAGGAAGGAAGGAAGGAAGGAAGGAAGGAAGGAAGGAAGGAAGGAAGGAAGGAAGGAAGGAAGGAAGGAAGGAAGGAAGGAAGGAAGGAAGGAAGGAAGGAAGGAAGGAAGGAAGGAAGGAAGGAAGGAAGGAAGGAAGGAAGGAAGGAAGGAAGGAAGGAAGGAAGGAAGGAAGGAAGGAAGGAAGGAAGGAAGGAAGGAAGGAAGGAAGGAAGGAAGGAAGGAAGGAAGGAAGGAAGGAAGGAAGGAAGGAAGGAAGGAAGGAAGGAAGGAAGGAAGGAAGGAAGGAAGGAAGGAAGGAAGGAAGGAAGGAAGGAAGGAAGGAAGGAAGGAAGGAAGGAAGGAAGGAAGGAAGGAAGGAAGGAAGGAAGGAAGGAATCCACTACTCAAAAGGTAAATGGGGAAAGAAACGGTAACTCCAAGGCTTCCAAGGATCTCCAAGGTCTCAACTGCTGTGTACACTTGGTACAAGTGGTGTGCAAAGCCAGGGCAGAGCAGAGCCTGGCACAGGCACTGCTGGTCCATCACAGAAGAGAAAACTCACTGCCACTGCAGATGGTAGTGCCCAGCAGAGAAAAAATCCTGAGCCTCTCGATTAAATTATGAGAAAGTCAAATAGATTATCTCTGGTTTTAAGAAAAACAAAGCAAATTGTTATGACTTAAACAAGGCTGTATCCTCAATAGGATTTTTAACCTCACCTACAGCAGCCAACATACAAAGAGCTGCAGCAAAGACAGAACAAGTCATTTGACTTGATTTAAAACAACATATTTTACTCTCAGTATCAGCTCTATCTCCATTTTAAACTTTTAACCTATTAAAGCCAGAGCAGGCATCTCCAGAAATCAGGGAAACACATTTTGAAAAGATCCACTTTTACCATGGCACTCACTAACACTGGTAACTAATAAAGCATAAGTTTTCAATCCTCCATTAATTAAAAGCCTAAAAGGAAAGGGCTTTTCTGGGGATGGGAGGAGAGACAGGAGCAAACCTCTGAAAGCTGCTTAGGGAAAAAAGGTCATGCTGTGCTAATTGGGGAGTTTCTGTAGTTTGAGTAAGACTTTGCCCAAAGCAGTTCAGTATCTAGAGCACAGAGGAAGCACCACAGACTTTGAAGGACTCTAATATTTGGTGAGGAATTTCTGATAAGAAGAAAAGCTTTGGATTTTTAACACAAAAGGTATCAATGAATAAAATAGTGAGAGAAAGAAAACAGAGATACAGAGAAAAGATAAACATGTGCCCTTGTGCTTGTCACTGCCAGGCCCGCAGGATTCCCCTCACCTTTTGGCATTATCCAGGAGGATGAGCATACTGGCTCCTTCATCATCCTGGAAACTCTCATAGTGGTGCCTGTCAGCATTCCCAATCAGGTAGTCAAAGATGGCTGTGTCAATGATGTCAAGCAGACGAGGGCCTGAGTCGTAGGGGGAAGTTTTCTTCACGGCATCGCAGTAGCTTTCGTCGTACTCCCACCTGCAGCCATGAGAGACACCACATCAGCCCTGCAGGAACCACCACTCAAAAAGACACAGCTGGACAAGTGTTGCACTAAAAGAGTAAATTCTACATTAACACCCAAGTGCATAGAGCCAGCTGCAGTTTCAGAGCAAGGATACACATGATCGTCCTGCAGAAAACCAAGTCAGTCACCAGACTAGTGTGTGCCCCTCAGAGCTCACAGCTGGGCAGTGGCTGTGCTGCCTCATGGCAAGATTGCTCTCACAACCTGCCTCCCTCGACTTCCCGAGGATTTAGCCTGGAGAAGAGGAGGCTCAGGGGAGACCTTATCACCCTCTGCAACTCCCTGACAGGAGGCTGGAGTCAGGTGGGGGTTGGTCTCTTCTCCCAGGCAACCAGCAGCAGGACAAGAGGGCACAGACTCAAGCTCTGCCAGGGGAGGGTTAGGTTGGATATTAGGCAGAGATTTTTTAGGGAGAGAGTGCTCAGGCACTGGAATGTGCTGCCCAGGGAGGTGGTGGATTCACCATCCCTTGAGGGTTTCAGGCTGAGACTGGATGTGGCACTTAGTGCCATGGGCTAGTGACCACAGTAGGGTTGGACTGGATGATCTTGGAGGTCTTTTCCAACTTGGCTGATTCTATGATTCTATGACTTAGGTACTGTGTCTATTTCCACTGCCGTGACCTGTTTCCATCAGCATGGCTTTCCAGCAATCCTCTTCCTTTGTTCTGACCTTGGTGTGGTTAGCAATGAGCCCCTCAGTCCCTGGGAGAGCTTCACGTGTGCTCATTCTCCTTCACTCACAGTTGTCTCTGTCCTCCCTTACTTCCCTTGCAGAGTATCTCACTACCTTCTCCACTTACAAGATTTCAAGCTTCCCCTCTTATCTCCTCTCCCTCTACATGTGATCTTGTAACATGGATGTCATGTCCCAGTTCTGCAAACCTAGGAATTTAAATTCTCTCATTTTCTTCTTTATAGCTTTCAAAGCTATTCACCACCACCACCAAAACAGCCAAATCTCTGGTGTATATCCTTCCCATCTGTCAACCTAAATAACAATTCCATGTAAGGACTGAAACAATCCTTCACAAAATAGCAGTTAAGTTGGGAATGCCTTAAGCCATCTGTGACTTGGAAACAGAAAAGGAGGAAACACAAGCTGGAGAGACTTGCTGACACGCTTAAAACTGCAGAGAGTCGTAAAAGTAGGAAGATCACAATTTAGTTACTAGAACTGCCACATACCCCACCTCATCTCCTAGTAGTCTGCAGCCTGAGCTCCCAATATCCAAAGCACAGACTCACAGAATCAATCAGGTCGGAAAAGACCTCTGAGATCATCGAGTCCAACCCATGACCTAACACCTCCATGTCAACCAGACACATCCAGTCTCTCCTCAAACACCTCCAGGGATGGTGACTCCACCACCTCCCTGGGCAGCACATTCCAATGCCTAATCACCCCTTCTGTGAGGAAACTCTTCCTAATGTCCAACCTAGACCTCCCCTGGAGCAGCTTGAGACTATGTCCTTTCCTCCTGCCTGGGATAATCAGATAGGCCAAAAATTTATCTTCTCCATGTTTCTGCTAACAGGTCTCACACACTCCTCAAATGCTGTGTCTGGTTACCTCTTTGTTTTGCATCAGGGTCCAACTCATATTCAACTTGCAGCACAAATTCACCAGGCAACAGTCTCAGAACCTACTCCCTGTGCTGGACACACTTCCTATGCTGCATCCCTCTCTCCCTCAAGTGTTTCTCTCATTTTACTTTAGATCAGTACTTAATCTCCTTGCCACAATTTTTCAGGACATACTATGTCCTCTCTCCTCATTTTCCTTGCAGTCTTTCAAGACAGACCTTTCTCCAACACCTATTTCTGATCATTTATATTGTATTAGCACAGGTCTTGGAAGGTCAGGGATTTTATCTACTACACCTCCATTCCAAATTACATGCACTAATGTGACTGTATGAATTATGTTCAAAAGGTCAACCTGGGACACGGTAGAAGCAGTTAGATTGGGACAAAAAAAAATCCTACAGGGTTATTTTTCCATAATTACCAGGCACAGAAAAAGGAGAGCATGACACCTAGGATGTTTAATTCTCCTGATGCTCTCAGAGTGAAACGTGCAGCATGACAAGGTGCAAAGCACAGAGCCTTGGCAACCCCATCTGAAGGAGGAAAGAGCAAGTTTAAATACAGGGAATATCAAATCAGCACAGGAATCAGGATGAACTCCTGTGTGAGCAGGCACTCTGTGACCAAAACCAGCCTCCCAAAAGGAGAAACACCTCCAAGAACACAGTCTGGTCGTTACTGCAGTGTAGCATGTACTGAGCACAGCTGGAAAGGAGAGAACAGCTGCTGCCCAAAAATCAATCTGTGCATTTAATACTCTAACACAATTCAGTGAAGCCTTTGGATGAGACTCTTTCTGAGAAGAATCATGTCATTGGAAATCAATGGATGCTTCAGATCAAGGACCAAAAATCTCTTTCTAATCACTTGTTCACGACACAGGTTTGAAAAAATTTACTAAGCTCAAAACCATGTGCTCTGGTCATGACAAAAACATCCCCAACCCATGTACTCTGACATGCTACTTCTGTTGTACCAGATTTCCAGATCCCACATTTGTCCTTCTTTAAGCCTTTTTTAAATACTGAGCATGTTCACCAAATACTGATGGTATTCAAAGCAAAGACGTTGGCAGTACCTACCTTCTTCAGCTAAACCAGCTCCACAACTCTCAAAACAAGCCACAAGGACCATGAAATCAGGTCTGGCTGAAAACAGCACAGTGCTACCACATTTCAGTGGGGTACAGAAGGTCCAATGGCACAAGAGAAGAGTCTTGGTTTCCCCACAGACAAGATTTTCCAAGCTTGGAGTTCTGCTCCAGCCAAGATGTAGGAAAAGGACAGTGCTTAATATTGTGGAAAACAATGAACAATTCATTCTGGCTCCCTTTAATTTCTATTTTATTCTAGATTTCTTGGCTTCTACAGCTGGATCAAGAAAACTGTTGACACAACTCTAGGTTCTGAGAGCGCTTAGAGCTCCTTAATTAACCATTGTATTTGCAAGGGTCATTAGTAGAAACTCTCAGGATGCTCATACCTGGCCAGTTTGCCCTCCCGGTACGTCCTGCCCCAGGGGTGCCGATGTTTCTGCAGGGGCCAAACATCTGGGAGCCACAGAGTCACTGAGCCCTCCATGAGGTCTCCATCTGCACAGGCTGGTTCTGTCTCCCGACAGTAGTAGCACTTCCCATAGAAGCAAGTATTATTGCCTTGGAAATAAAAAAAAAAAGAGATACAGGACAGCAAAACTTAATCCAAGGAATCCAACTGAAGCTCAGGGACATGTTCTACAGCACTGCCTTCTGCACCTGACCTCGTGCTTCCTACCCCTGAGAGGAGAGGCTCAGAGAGGTTACACAGACATCCACTCATTCAAAGCATTACAGACTAACAATCAAAGAAGAGAGTAAATAAATTTTCTAATTATTTCATTATACTGAGAGTTAAGTGCAAAAAGGCACAGCAGAACTCAAATGCATTTGGTGCCCTGAGACCTGCCACAGTCCCTCGTGCTGACTCTGCAGGGCACACAGGAACAAGTTGTCATTCTTCCAGGATCTAGGAATGCAGATCTGTCAAAGGCTTCCTCAGTGTCTTCTGACAGGAGAGGAGCACCAAAAACCTGCAGCCTTTAGTTTGCTAACACCAGCACAGCCTGGAGCATAAAGGAATCTACACAGCCTGGATTAATAGTTTCAGTTTCTAAAATTATCTCTATTTCCCCCTTCTAACCTGCCTTTGCTCCAGTCTCATGCTCCCAGATGTTCCTCCAAAACATTCTTCACACTCACTTGTGATTCCAGTTATTCTCTGTCCTTTTTTCCTTTGGCTCTACATCCAATATCCTCCCCAGCCCAGGCCTGGCTCACCCAAAGACATGTTTTTCACTTTCCATCCTTACTCATCCCCACCCCTCAGCCTGCACTCCTTTGGAGCCCTTCATCCAGATCCAGCTCCTGTGCTCCCAGTACCCCACCAGACAACTGGGGGATGTCAGAGGTGACCATGGGCACCAGAGATTGCAGATCAGGTCTCATATTTGCATGGAAAGCCCTGCAAGTCTCCCTTCCCATCCAGGGCCTGCAGCAGGTCCAGTAACTCCAGCTGCAACTCTAGCAAACCTGCACTGAATGTGCATGAATTACCTTCTCTTCAGATCCTTAGAAACTTGGGGAAATCTGGGTTGACAAGAGATCACAAACCTCCTCCCCAGACCCACCCATTTCTTTGGTTCCTGCTCTGCAGAACAGTGATTCCAAGGAATCTGAGGAAAGGCAATGAAAATTTCTGCAGCCAGACTTTTCCAGTCAGCATTTCTGCTACAAAACAGCTTAGTTATCTTGGCTGAAATTTGAAAAGTGCAGTGTGCCTGAGGCAGACACCCAGTCTGAGTGCAAGGAGGGTCTGGCCAGGCTGAGCTCCTCTCCTCTGAGACTGGCACCTCGTAACTGGTGAGGCTGCAGCAGTGTCATGGGAATGTACAGAGCCACACGTCTCTACCAGCTGCAAGGTACAATCATCTCTAGAGCCTTCTGATTAGAAAACAAAACAAACAACCAAAAGTAATAACTGGATATGTTATGAAAGCCTGGAGAAGTTATGGCTACAGCATAAGTCATTTCTTGCTGCTTAATGACCACATGGCAGGAGTTCACATTAATAGCTCCCATTAAGTGCCCTTCACAGCATTACTGCTGTAAACAACACAGGGAGGTTCTGACATGTTTGGTTATAAATGCTCTGCAGGCTCTGATGGCACAAACAACATCTCACACCAACCAATGTATCAGCTCTATAAATTATCCCAAATCACCACTCTGTTTGCATTAAATACAATTTCATTTTTGTCCTTCCAGGTCTAACCAAGAGACTTCTCCAACCACCTCTGACAGCAGAGAGGAAATTCTTACTCAAAAAAAAAATAAAAAAAAAATAAAAAAATGTCCAGCTGCAACAGCAGCATGAGGGAACACAGAGCAGTTACAGAGGGAAAACTACTTGGAGAAACCCAAGTCCTCCCCTGCCAAACAGGGTTACACAAGTGTTACAATCCCTCTTGGCACAGAGACACGTCCCAGCTTCCTGCATCATAGCTAACTGTTCCATAAGTGTGTCAGGTTCCCATGGCTCTTTGTCCCCATTAGACATGTTTGTCTTCACTGGGCTGCACAACCCATGGCACCCACTCACCCACAGTCATGAAGGTGCCCAGAAGCTGCTCCGTGGCCACTGGTTTGATCTCTGTGAACAGGTTCACAAACCTGCCGACCACCAGCGGCGCTCGCCGGAACCCCAGGATCCTGGGAGAGGGGAAAAACAACAGCAGAGTTTCAAAAGGAAAACCAAACAAACCCACAGTCTATCAGAGAAATGAGACCAAAGAATCAAGCTGGAGCCCTGCAGCAACCTCTTCCCCAAGGCAGAGTAAGGAACTCATTTTTCCTAAGTGCCCTGTCTAAGCCATCAGTGGCACTCCTTGGATAGGAGTGACACAGGATGCACCATGAACTCTCAGACCTCACACCAGAAATATCCACCACGTGTCTGATGCACAGGCTGAAGCAATAAAACCATATGGCCACCTGGAAAGATAATTTCTGATCTGTGGGAACCACTATCTATTGAAATGTTATGTTTAAGCTCAATTCAATTACGCTTGAAAGAACCAATCAAGGAGCTGTTTTGTTTGGCATGAGGAGGGAGAAGGGAAGAGAGAATGGGAGAACAGAAGTGAATGCCTGAGAAGTGCCTGGAAAAGCAGAGGTGGGAAGAACAACCATAAAACTTGCAGTGACAAGATCCAGGTTCCACTCCCACGTCTGCCACAGCCTTTGCTCCGTGACCACAAATGACTTGGGCATTTGGAATGGAATTTTAGAAGTGCTTAAAGGAGCAAAAAGATCAGGACAATGTCAGCCCCAGCCCTCTTAATGTACTTTTGATATCCTTTTGATAATCTTTGCATCTCAGAGAAGTTTCAGTGCTCATTCTCCTTCCCAAATTTTCCCCTAAAATGTAAAATGTTAGAACCTCACACAGATCTTTGACATGAAATTTCACAGAACAGCTGATGTTAATTTTTGGTTTCAATGTGGCACATTGGCAGGTTAGGAACAGCTCCCACCTGAGGGGCATTCTTCAATGAAGCCTCATAAAGCATTTTCCAAAGGGAATGAAACCAGGTAAGCCAATCATTCCATACCTATCCAAGTGGAATGCTGCCACTTCTGCGTTGTGTCTGTCGTAGCCAGCGTACGGCTCTCCTTCCACTACGTAATCCCTGGCATATCTGGAATGGAAATAAGACAAATCAAGTGATTCTATGCAGGACTTCCATCAATTCTGCTGTTCAGAGTAACAAGTGTAACAACAGTGCCACACTGAAGAGTCTCTGGGTCACTGTGAAAACGACTGCCAAAGGAAGAGGGAAAAGTATCAATGAGATGAAAGTGCACAGAAATAAGGAGGAAAGGTCAGTGATGTACAGTGTCTCCAGAGCTTGGGAAGCAGTGCCCATTCCAACTAATGAATTTTAATCCAACCATATGCCAAGTCACATCTAAGAACAAAGAGCACAGACCCAGCTCCAGAACAGGGAGCTATTTATAATGGAAAGCAGCGATTCCACAGGCGATTTTGGGGTTAGAATGGATGTACATTAACATGAAAACACAATCTGATGCTGTGGAAGAGATGGCAAATGCAATCTTTAGCAGACAGAAAATCAGTGAGCATGAACCTGAGGACAATACTGGCTATAAAAAGATCCTTTATCGTGGTGGAGAAAAGACATAATGAACAGCAAGAAACAGGAATTGGGCACTTCATTACAACAACAATGATGTGTTTTGGTGAAGTGCAGACTTTGGGCTCCCTTTTTTCCCCCCTCTCTTAATAGATGCTGCTTAATCAAGGCAAACAGCAATTCCTGAGACTGCTGCCATTTGAGTCAGTCTCGCTGCTGCTGCAGGTCAGTGTGAAATACCACAATCAATACTGAGCCAATGGCTGAAGTACAACATGTTTTCAAACAAAATCAAGCCAAAGCAGGTTACCTATTTTCTCATTTCCATCTACACATCACATTGTGCAAACTGGGTTGTTTCCAACAGACTTTGGGTCCAAGCAGTAGCAACAACAGTGTAAGAGAAGCCACAGAGCTCTGCCTTGAACACTTGCAGGGATGGGGCAGTCACAGCTTCTCTGGGCAACCTGTGCCAGTGCCTCAGCACCCTCACAGGGAAGAAGTTCTTCCTAATATCCAATCTAACCCTGCTCTCATTCAGTTTAAAGCCATTCCCCTTGTCCTATCACTCCATGCCCTTGTCAAAGTGCCTCTCCAGCTCTCCTGGAGCCCCTTTAGGCACTGGAAGCTGCACTAAGGTCTCCTCAGAGCCTCCTCTTCTCCAGGCTGAACACTCTCAGCTCTCTCAGCCTGTCTCCAGAGCAGAGGTGCTCTCGCCTCCTGAGCGCCTTTGTGGCCTCCTCTGGACTCACTCATTAACAGGACAGAAAAGCTTGCTGCTTGCCAAACCCAAAATCCTTAGGACATCCTCATTCTGTGAGAGCAACACTTCACATTTGCAGTGCACTCCCAGAAAACACTCCTGCCTTACTATTTCATCTTTCTTTCTTCTCCCTTTTCCCCAAGGGCAAACAGATCAAAAGCCTTTACAGCCAAGCACAGGACTCTTCAGAAACGTTCAGCCATGTCAGATTTCCCTGTGAATCACTGCAAACAGAGGCCATACCAAGGAAGTACCACTACCCACCCACTGCTCTTCCAGTACTCATTACTGGCAGACACAAACCTCGTGGGCTACTCTGACCTACCCAAGCCATGCTTACAGTCTCCATGCAGCTACACCAGACACCAAGATCTGCTTTTAAAACCACTGTCAACTTTCATTCCTTCCCTGTTCTTGAACTGCCCTCTCTCAGGGCAGTCTGACATGACCCTTACCCAGAGTAGGCAAGGCTTGTCTCCACACTTCCACAGTCAGGAAGACACTGCTCAGAAACATCAGGTGGAACCAACATTCCCTCAGGACTGAGCACAGTGATTATCCTTTTAAGCTAAAGACAGGCTGTTTCAAGCATCAAGGCTGTGCAGCCTGAGGGACAGCCAGCACAGCAGCCTCATGTTACTGGAGCAGCAGCAAAGCTCTGCCCTGTCTGTCCCACAAACAACAGGATGGCACCTCCATTTATGTGATAATCTGGAACTTAAGTAAGGTGACAACATGGCAAAAATACATATATGTAATTAAAGCAGTTATTAATGCAATCACTGAAGGCATTTACTGTGAGAGTGGTGAGACACTGTCCCAGGTTGCCCAGGGAGGCTGTGGCTGCCCCAACCCTGGCAGTGTTCACAGCCAGGTTGGATGAGCCTTGAGCAACCTGCTCTGGTGGGAGGTGTCCCTGCCAAGGGCAGGGGTTGGGGTTGGGTGAGCTCTAAGCTCCATTCCAACCCCTTAACATTCTATGATTCTTCTACAAATATTTACCTCTTGGGTTTGAAGACAACCTTCTGTCCTCCTTCAAGTATTAGCAAAGCTTTCAGCTGAGTCCCTTTGTATCCCACGTCAGCTTTGATGATTTTCTTGGTAGTCATGGCATGCATGACAGCTCCCAACTCGGGGGTCTCCTCAGGGTACACCTCCCGGGGCACCACCCACTGGGCCGCGATCTCCCAGGGGGACTGGAGCGTGTGGTCGAGCCGCGGGTCCAGCTCCACGCGCAGCCCGGCCATCATGCGGTGGAACGCGCGCTGGTCCTCGCGGTTGGCGGCCGAGGGGTCCAGGTTGTCGATGAGGAACACCTTTGTGAAAATGAAGATGACCAGGAGGATGGCCAACAGCACGACTCGCTGCTTCAGCTTCATGGTGCCCCTTCAACCCCTCTCCCGTGCGGGCAGTCTGTCGGAGGTCAGGGTGAGGAAGGGGAGGTTAGTTAAGGAGTGTCGTTCCTAAGGTGCATTGTGAAAGAGGTGTCGCCGCTGAAGCCTCTCCTGGTACCCCTAAAAATAAACAAAACACAAACTTACAATCCTGCAGATCCCACCAAACTCAGAACCAAGTTTAAGCTTGGAACACAACCCTGCGTTCCGGGACACTTGTATGCCAAAGCCCAAACATTTCTGTTAAAACACGTGTGGTTTGCTGCCTTCCTGCAGCCTTTCCGTGATCTGCAGGAAGGGGAAATTGCCAGATAGCATCTCTGCACAGCTGAAATCATGGGAGCTGCAATACCACAGGCAACACTTCTGCAGAGAGCTGCAGTTTAAGGTGATGACTCCAGTCTCACATACACTTTTTCACTAGCATGAGATTCCACAACCACTGGTCTCCCAAAGATCTGTCCCTACAGAAAAGCTCCCAGGTAGATTGGCTGACAGCTGACAACCATAAGAACAGCTGCACAGCCTACTTTCCTGAAGGTGTAAGACATAAGGACAGAATAGACTTAATTGTTTATTGCCTTTCATTTACTGCCACTATAATTGACTCAGCTTTTTTCCACTATTACAAAAAAAAGGGGTGGGAGGTGGGAGATGATATCCTCACTTCCTCATGGTTCACTGAGTATATTCTGCATTCAGCTGTAAAACCCATAACCACAGGAAATATACATCTGCAATCTCAATGCCAAATTAACAAGAAAAAAAAAATCCCAAACCACTAATACTGTCTGTTCTCAGCAACCTCAGCTACAACAGTCACAACCACATCTGTGTTCCTATATTCACAGTGGGCTGCAAGACACATCTCACCCCTCAGCAAGACTTGGCCAGGGCAGGGTTGGCATATAAGGACCACAGAACACACCACCAATTCTATTTCAATTCTGAGGACAGAAATTTCCTTCCTAATATTAGCTGAACGGAGTCAAAACCCAAACGGAAAGGGTCACTCAGGCACATCTCTGCCAGCAGAGGTTCTCCTCTCCCAAGCCACGCTAACCATGCCCACCCTGACCAGCACCCTGAGCTAGGGGAGGGCTGAGACAGAAAAACCTTCTCAGGACGTTTAGCAACAAGTGTATACACCAGCTATTATCAATCATATCACTGGACAAACGAGCTGCACAGGCTGATTCACCAGCAGCAGCCACAGGACAGCCAGGCCATGCTTGGCCAGGCACACACAGGTCACAGCCATTGGTGCAGTCAGGTTTGGCACAGGGTTAGTACAAGAGGACATGCAAGCCCACAAATGACTCCACAGCACCTTAAACAAACTTCCCTCAGGTCTGCAGCAGCCCCACCCTCCCTCCCAGCTACGTGGCACTCTCACCTTCCTCCCAAGGCAGTGCAGGATCCAGGCTGCCAACCCACCAGCACTAACCACCTCCTCTGCTTCCTGTGTGAGCCACCCAAAGTTCAGGTTTTGAGCCAATGCAGCCTATCAGCCGATACAAACCGCTCCTCGTGTGAGGCACAGCTCCAGCCGTGGGACAGAACCCTTCAAGGGTCACCAAACCCACCTATCTACAGAGGGGCACCTTAGCTCAGGCCAGCACTGTCACCCACAGAACGGCCCTGCCCTCCATGCAATGAGCTCCATGAAACACTCGATCACTGTAAAAGCTCAAACATTTTTGTTTATTAACTTCTGCCCTCAGCCCTCCTTCCCCCAAACCTGGTTTCCAACTTCTGCCCTCAGCCCTCCTTCCCCCAAAGCCAGTTTCCAATCTAGTTTCACAAGCACCTGAGGAGGGCACAGGATGAGACCCAGAACAAGTGTTTCTCCTGACAGCAGCACTAGTGATTGCATTGCAGGTAACACTGAGGCCTGACAAAGAACAAGCAGCTGAACCACTTAAAACAGCCACTGAAGGGACAGGGGAATTCAGTACTAAACTGTCAGACACTGCTACTTTCAAAATCTCAGCTCACAGGTGGCCACGCTCTGACGAGGCAGAAGCAAAGCTTTTAGCCCAGTTCACCACCCAGATTTCATTCTGCTGTCATTGTCCTGCCCCACGTGACAGCTCAGCTCAGTTTGGCCCTTCCCAAGGTACACATTTCACCTCTTAAATACTTCCTAAAGGACCTGTCTGCTGAATCAGGAAAGAAAGTGGAAGTCTCCTAATGATAACAAGTTAAAACTGAAATGTGAACAAGTGGTTTAATGTTGACAGTGACCACTCACAGCACTAGGGAGAGCCCAGGAGGGCAGGGTGAAAGAAAGCTACATCACACCTCAGGGATGCTGCAAACCAGGACTGTTAACTGTGTAATACTGATTTTAATATACTGGAAAATAAGTGCTTGTGCTCGTAGCGAAAGGCAACAAATGACATGTTTATATGGAAATTAAAGCATATTATTGATCTAGTTCTGTTCAGGCAGACTGTGCTTCTCCTGCATGTTACCCACTGCAAGCACGAGAACGAGACACAGGAAGATGCACCTGACCCAGGAGCCTCATTCCTGCACAGACACACTCAGGAGCAGATGAGCCTCATTCCTGCACAGACACACTCACTCAGGAGCAGAGCCCTAAATAACACTATTCTTCAATTCAAGCAGGCAGGCAAAGCAGATCTGGCAGTAACTGAACCCTCTCCTTGTAACTGCATCATTCACCTCTTCCCAGCTCGTAGTTTGAATCATTCTGAACACTGCTGTTATCAAGATCTGCTTCATTCTTCCTCCAAAGCCACTAGAACCTGTGAGGAGTTAGGCAGCAGAACACAGCTCATGCCCCAGCAGTGACTCCTCATCACATGTACATGTAAAACATGTACACATATGTTTTAAGGAAGCCTCTCAGACTGGCTGACTAAAGCACAGGGCAGGAATGTGTCACCCCTTTGGAGCTCGAGCTGGGCACTCACTTCCCTAGACTGATTTTCAGGAATGGCAAGTTTTTCTAGGGATGTTCTTCTTGGAAGCAGAGGGGAGACTAGAACTACAGTCACTTAAATTAAAGGTCATTCACTTAGGTTATCTTTTGTGACAGCTTTGAAACTAATTTTGGCTGAAAACCCACAATGAGGTAGAAAGAATTTACCAAAAAAAAATTACATATTTATTTATTTGTTGGTGATTAGGCTCTGACCTTTTCTGACATCTGAGGACATGAGTCATCAGCTGCTTTCCTCCAACAAACACCAAAACCCCCCGAGGCTGCCAAGCAATCCATTTCCCAAGCTACCTGCACAACCTGCACTTTGCTCCTTGGGTGCCAAAGTTACACTCACTGCTGTACAAGCCAAGGAAATTGAATCCTTTTATAGACAAGTTTATCACAGACAGCAGGAAGTCGAGCTTTGCTGTTTCAAATTGAAGATGGCAAGAGTGACAGTGTTGAGGTGCTGCAAGAAAAAAAAAGTTTATGCAGTTTGGGAGGAAAGTATTTTGGAAAAGACTTGGATTGGAAAAGATGATGAGAGCTCCAGAAGTGTAAAGCTGGTCCTGGAATGAGGACAGAGATGGGAAAAGTGGCCACAGAAACAAATGAAATAACAACAAACCGCCAACATTATAAAAAAGAAAAAAAATAACGTGAGTTGTGAGCAGAACCTGGTGGAACAAAGGGCAAAAGGGTCTTGGACAATGACAAAATAAACCCAGGGATAATCTCAGGAGGAGATCCAAAAAGGAAATAGTTCCACAAACTGGCAGGGATGAGATGATAAGGCAAGGGCCTTCAGGACTGACAAAAAGGGGCCAAGAGATGGAGAAGCCACTTAGTTCTACGTAAGAGACACGGGAATATGGGATGCACAAAAGGACAGTAGATGCTCTTTGAACCTGAAGGCATCAGAGAAGGAAAAACCTAAACACAGTTTTCAGAAGTCAAGTGCAGCTTAAGTGTCTGACCAGAGCTGACACAATACAGTGACAAAATAATCCCTCTGTACCTGCAGTCCAGAACACACATTCCCTCCTGCTCTTGGGCAGCAGCTGCTGATCTCTTCCCAAGCTCAGGTAACCCTAAAAGTGTTTTTTTTTCCCCTCCCTCCTGCTCTTGGGCAGCAGCTGCTGATCTCTTCCCAAGCTCAGGTAACCCTAAAAGTGGTTTTTTTTCCACAGCTTCTGCCTAGCATTATCTCCAGCTACCATTACTGAACAGAAGACTGAATTCCAAGAGTTTTGCTGCTCCACCACCCAAACTCCACTTCCATGTTACAGAAGTATAGAAAAACTCACTTCCCTCTCTACCATCTTACCATGCTGGACCAACCTGGGAGAAAAAACACTCCGAAATAAACCACCCTACCAGCTTTGCAATGCTGCAGTCAAGTAGCAGGTTTCCTTAAGAAACACTTCTTGTATTTCACTAGCTCTTTGGGATATTTCCTGATCAATTTTGTCTCTCATTACAGCCAGGACTGTATTCTCAGCAAGTGAGGAGTCTTCCAAGTCGATATCCAAACGCCAGTATCTCCTCAGCATCACAGTGGGGTCACTGTGCACACAAACACCCGAGATAAAGCATGTCCACTGGCAGTAAATACCAACAGCACACTCCCAGTTCAAGGGAAGCATGAAACTTGCCTGTTACAAAAATCACAGCTACTGTGAGCAGCCTACAAAGTCAGCAGAGCACCACAGCCCAAAAAACAATTGCTACTGGAGTCACAGAATCAATGCTGTGCCACATATCACCATCTTATCTCTACACCACAAAGCTGGAAAGCTGCTGCCTCAAAAATACTTGTGTGTGCAACTGCCAAGGATTTTGTTATGCTCCAAGTGACAAATCAAGTCTGAAGGCAGCAAAGGTTTAGTTTGGCAGCACAAGCACACAAAACATGACAACTCAAACAGACACTGATCTGAAATAGAATGGTGAAGTACACACTAATTCCTGTTTAATGCACCTTTTTTTTTTCTTCTCAGATACACTATACCTTTTGGGATTGCCTATCAAA